GAGAGAGAGAGAGAGATCGTAAAATAAGTTTGTGGTTACACTTTATATTTGTACTTGTAAGACAAGCAATCATTAAGAATCAAATTAACCGGATATTATGAATCTCACCTGCCATTGGATAACAGTCAAATGACTCTCTTTGTATTCATGATGTCTAACATTCCCGGATCCGGTATAGATGATGGAGGAATCCAAAGCGGTTATATCCTTAATGCCTTGGGAATGCATCGAGAATGCGCTCTAAACAAAATAAATAACTAAAAAATTATATAATAGATTTTATCTTTATCTTGAAAGAAGAAATTCAAGGGAGTAATAAATTAAATAATTTTTTATGGTTTTCCCAATAAGTAAGATTCTTTTCTAATTTTCTAAAATGATATAGTAGAGTCAATACCGTATGCATTCCCAAAAAACCCGCGAGATTTTCAATAGCATTCACTCTAGCGATAGGCGACAGTTGATCCATTCGCGCATCCAGCAAAATTGCAAGGATCGTCTGATCCTCTCCGTCATCGCAATGCGCCTGCAATTAGGATTGTATTATTTCGCATAAATTGCATTTCTTTGTTTACACCTATTAATATGTGAAATTTCAAGGATCTAGGTCGCCGACCAGATACAGTCGCAATATGTGTAATTGCGCAAGGCAATGCGTTACGCGCGCAGTACCAATTGGTGTCAATCAGTTAACAGTCACGAGACTAACTTCTTTATATTTAAACGTAATATTGGATGCAACGGACAACCGTTATTTCAATGGATTTATATCGTTGTGCAAAGCACTCAGAATTTCATTGTAAATTCGTCAAACGCGGATTTTATTGCGCGCGACTAAATTATAGACTGAAAAATGTAGCATCCAGAGAACCAGTTATCTTTTCACTCATGTTTTTCGCTCACGTTTCACTCGAACCAAATAAATTTTCAATGTTATTTTATTTTACTTTTTATCACATGAACACATAACAGAGAAAACGCTTCTAATAATTTAAACACGGAACATTTGTTCCAAACGAAACGTTCATCCTTTTGTCTTTTCATTTTTAAGTTTTTAAGTTGTATTCATAATCATTACAAAATGAAAAATTAGAAAGCATGTGTCACGGAAATCTATTATTATTTGACTTGAATAAGAAATTTGAAACAATGCCAGCAATACGTTTTCGCGTTAATGATTCTCTCGCTGGTTTGTTATTCGTTATGCCGAGTGAGCGATTCAACGATATAACTTACCTTGCCGTCTTTATGCTTGAGTTCTTCCAGTTTCTCAGGTATAACTTGCACGACGAACTGATCCCTGGCGGTGTTGTGATGCTTGCCGATAGCCGTGACGCTCAAATGATAATTGCCCATGTCCTTTTTCGACGGCACGCCCAGCAGCGTAGACGCGGCGTCATCCCAGTGCATCCATCGTGGAAAACGATCGAGATTGGCAGTCTCATGAACCTAACATATTTCTAACATGTGAATACTATCGCAATATCACAAACTGCTTTCCGAAAGGGTAATTATTCGCGATGTCTTTATGCACTAGGTATCGTTGATTATGTGAACTTTTGAATCGCCTTCGCACGAACGAAACGAGTGTGCCTCGTTGGCCGAATAATCTCGAGGACAAAGGGAAGACCAAACCATTCAACCTAAGAAGGATTTCCGGCCGTGAGATTCGCCGAGAGACGATGGGGAGCAAATTGAATCGCAAATATGGATTCAACGAGAGATGCCGAGAACGCGCCGGCAGGGGCCTTGAGAGGGAAGAAAATGACAGATGTGAGGACAAATAAATCAATAGCGTTCAAGCAGGGCGGCGGGCATCGCTGATACTTGACGGCGGTACGAGATTCGATAAATACGAAAGAAGAACGCTCTCAAGTAGTCTAAAGCGTTCGACGCGGCTCTTTAGTGAATGTTGGATGTGAGTACGATGTATTTAATAAGATTTTTCTTATTCCTTGTACAAAAGATCTTTCAACGAGATATAGACGTGCTCACGTGCAATTTGCTAATACACTTTAATAAATACAGTACATATTTGTTTATTAAATGTTAAATCCTTTTTTTTCTTTTGTCACATCTACTAAAGAATTAAAGTTTCAAGATATGCAAGAATCTTCTTGCGAAAGTTCACTTTCGAGATTTAATTTAATTGAAGATTCGAGTAACGTAGAACAGATATTTTTTTCATCAGGGACTCGAGCTCTTTCGTAATGCACGATCGGTAGGCGAGGTCTTCCGGTCACGTCCCAAGTTCGTAGTTGAAGAATAAGTTGCGGAGTCGCGTCGAGGAACTTACCTCGTAAAAATCCACGTTCCCCGAAAAAGCTTGGCGCGGTATTTTCATCCTGAAAACGTGGCCGACCGGGACGATGGAGTCCGGCACGCCCCACGCCCTTTCGACCCGAGAGGCGTGTCTCCTGCCATCATGGGATGACGATCCGTGCTCGTAACGATCGAATCGACCGCGGGCCGTGTGATGATTAATCAAGACGGGCCCGACGGGCACGTTGTCATTGTCTTCGCCGACGTCGTCAAAGACTAGGTCGTCTTCCTGCAAGCTCAGACTCAACGCCAGAGGCAACAGGAGCAAGATGCACGCGAGGATGTGAGGATGCTTCTTCATGTTTTGGGGAAGTCTCAGTCACTGATACCATACCATACTGCTACGCCTGCAACAGGTCAAGCAATGTTCATTTAGTCCGAGTCACGATCGTCAAGATAGTCATCAAACGATGTCAGTGTCGTAATAATTAACGCGCGCGGTTGATTCGTAAAATCCTGATTGTTGAAACGAGAACGCGTGCTAAAACAAGATCATCGAAATGAGCTCCTAACCTCACCAAAACGCCATGATATCGAATACAATTTTTCATCTTTCCTCTCAAATTGAGATAAATGAATAATCTTTCTTTATCACATCGTTTGGCGCAATGTTGTTTAAGATGTATGTTGATTAATCCTACACCTTACGTAAAAATAAAATAAAATAGCTAGATTACGTTACATGCCACGTGATACGCTTTGATAATACAATAATTCAATAAATAATAATTTTAATATATTTATATTCTTAATTATGCACTCTTTGTCTAAAGAAAAGATGATATTCATGAGGTGTTTAAAAGGATCAATGATATACAAAATTAAAATAAATAAAATATAGTCGAAGGCGATATGATAGAATAGAAGGCGTTCTATATCGATCACTGAACCAACAATCAGACTGATAATTGTGCACACTCGTTGTTCACGTTATCGAACATTTGACGAGTCTGTTTAGATTCGGCTCAAGAGACTAATGAAACATTTTTGTAACGGAGGGAGCGAGCGCATGCATCCAATGATGTCCAATGAACATTTATCCAATAAACACTTCTATCATTGTTTTTTTGTCTCTTTTTATTACTCGTTTCATCAAGCTCCTGTTTCATTAATCGATCAGACAATGAGGAGTCGACGATTAAACTGCTGGAGCTGTCACGATCGACGACCAGTCGATAAAACCAGGGGATTTAGTTTCATCGAAACGTCATGTATCCCCTTGCTTCGAGCGTATTTCGATGCGAACGACTGATGGCACTATTTTGGCGACAATATCTACTCAAACAGTTTAGAACGATCGAATAATTTCGATCGTTCGGGAACCTAACCCGACGACTCTTTCTAATCGGCGTCACCCAGCCGCGCGACAAATCGAGCGAATTAATCGAAACGAGGACACTCATCGTTTATGGAGAATTCATCAGTAAGCTTATTTACTTACTACAAGATTATATATATGTCGTGTAAAATTGTGCGTATTTATCTTCATTCAACTTTCGAACGCTTTGACCGATTAGAATTAGATCGATAAATAACAATGAAAATTCCGAGATCGCGGAACAAATCGAATCATAATCATGCCGAGTATTTTTAGCCGTCGATAATTTAAATCAAACTTTAATGCGAATTTGAGCAGCTCGTATCTCTTATCTTTGGGAATGACGAAATGACGACGTGTGGATTTCAAGAATCGAGAACACGCGGATTTGTTGGTCACGTTTCGTATGAGAGTTCGGATCACGGATTAATTGCGCTGATGAAAACGAGGGCAGCGCGATACACTAAACCCATCTCTCGCCGGAGCGATTGCGAAGACGGTCAACGGACCGCGAAGGTTACCTAGTGGGTGGGTAGACAATTGAGTTTATGCCCGCATTTATATGCGTTCATGCGAGGCGAGATATAGCAGTGAACTCATTACTCGTCACTCGCTATACCGCGAATCCGACAGCCATCTTAAAAGTAGCGTGATGGAAAGTCAGTGATACGCTTAGCACGAAGATAGTATCCATGACTTTATAATAAATCTCAAAAAGTTTGTTGTAGAACTATGGACGTTGAACGACGCGAGTGTTCTTTCTCTGCTCGACAAGTTATTTATTTAACGGATAGACTATCTTCGTGTCGTGAATCAGCCGTGACACGAATATTGAATTCTGATGTCACACACGACGCGCTGTGATTTTTATTGGACGGTACGCAGTTGTCCGGCAGTTGTCCGATGAGGATGAGCGCATTTGGTGACAAATGATTTAAATGCCGGTGCAAAACAAACGCAAAACATGGAGGGGAAAAGCGTTTATCGCCTATATATTATAGGGACCGATTGCAAAATGATCACTCTTGTAAGCGTCCATCCTAACATTGCGAATCCCCACGATTCCGGCCTTAATGCGATTTCACGGTCGCGATACACCGTGCAATACGAGAGAACGAATATTTATCAAAGTCTAACGATATCGAATATCGAATATCCCGATATCGATTGTTCGACGCGGAGAATGTTGTTGTTTGATTGTCTGGTGAACGCGATGTAATTTTCCTCCTCTGCCTTCGGAAGATTCCGGGAATAAGCTATTTAAACAAAACATGTGCTGGAAACAAAGGATAATTGTATACGGTGTGTAGTGTGAGCGCGCTGCGTGCAAAATTCATGTCGCTTGACATGAAAAGGATGAAAAATATCAATAATGGAAAATATTGAATTATCGTCGGACATCTATGAAAGTCCCCCCACAATCATTTGAGTAATAACATTTATCACATTTTGATATCCAACTATGCGTTATATCTTTAATATCCTGCTTTCGTCTATGCACCCGTATAAGCGTTCCTCTATTCAGACGTGACAATTTGTCGCGCGTTCGAGACTTTGCCTCGAGTCGAGTTGCGTTGCATAGCATGCGAGATGCAAATGCATCGCTGCAGGTGCAACGTGCCCCGTCGTTGCGGGACACGCGTGCGATGAATGCAAGAACAGTCAGACGGGCCGATAGATCGGGCAGGACGCTGAACGGAAGCGCAGGAACGAAATGGAAATCGATAGAATTCCGAGAAACGACGCGAGAGCGAGAGGTGTATTTGACGTTGCGGCTCATTGCACGTCGATACAACACGCGTATCTTCGTCTTATCCATATCAGTTCACCGCAAATCCCGGGATACGCGCGATGTAAGATTTCCCTAGTGAAAAGTCGTGATATTTCTCCTATCAGACGGAGGCGTCATAAATAGCGCAATTGCTTTAAACTCATTCATATAATGCCGCTGTTAAGTTCATTGATAACCCACGCATTTTATTTCTTTTCTCCAAAGCTGTTTCATAACGTAGGTCTTTCGAGTCAGCGACCTTAGACAGATTAATCGATGCTGATCCTACGCAAGTAACGAGGCAAAAAGCATGAAAGAAAACGCTTATATAATAATCCGGATATAATAATATTACAATAAGATTTTTTTGTCGCAAGTGATTATCAAATCCCGGCATTGAGATTCCGGCAAGAAGATTGCTATGAGGCGAACCCGCCGAGTTGACTTTACGTTGATAGTTATTTCTAAAAATTTAAATGACGCACATGAGAGGTTTGTGTACAGAGAATGAAATTTTTAAATAAAAACACTTTGAAGCATCGTATGGATATCATCCGGTTTCCTTGCGATCTAAATTTAAAGCGACAACGCGGCGCCGTGCGGCGCGTAGAATTTTCTTTCGAGATTCTTCCGCATCTTCAAACGAGCATAAATCGAAGGGGGGAAAAAATATAAAATAAACGGAGAAGAGAGGAAAGTCTAGAGGCAAAGAGGACGATGATTAGTTTCGAATCTTCGAAAACGAGATTCCATAACGAATGCTATGAAAAAGTAACTGGCATGTACAGCAAACAATAATATGCGAGAGCGCAACGATTTATTCAGGATAAATGCTTTAATTATAGATGTCGTATCACTGACGCATACCCATTAATGACACTCTGTTGCGTAATGCAATATCGTTATGCGTGTGACTCGCGGGCAAGTCAACTACAATGACAGTCGGTCAATAATATCAATCGTCGCTTCCGTCATATCAAAAGAAAAGCCTTCTCACTGTATTTTTCCTCAAGAAATTTCCACCGTAAAGTGATTATAACTTTGACCGGAAAGTCTCATGCTTTCCTAATAAGTTTCAGAGGTCTCCGAGAGGTCTCTCCGAGTGTCGTCGAGATAACTGCTTTTCGTGCCTCGTGTACACAGAGACCAACGTTTACACAGTCTTTATTCTTCCAGATGCTGCTGCTGCTGCTGTTATTGCTATGGCAGTCTCGGAAATAGAGCCAACGACGCCACCTTTCTTTGACTCGATGTTGAAAACGACATCCTGTTTCAGCGTTAATCATATGATGGTTCGTCTAACAATACTGTCGCGTAGTGACACGTAACTTTTCGGTAAGCGATATATTTTATTAAATAGATTGAAAATATATACTCGTATAATTAAAACATGCCCAACTCGTGCGTTTGCAAATCGAACGGTTTTATTAGCAGAGCCATATTTTCAGAAAACGCAGCAACACACGCGACGATCTCGATACTCCACTGATTTCTCATTTCGCGCTAATTTAATGTAAATACATGCAGTTCAGCGATAAGTATTTGCATGTGCAACGTGGCACATAAGAAGCGTCGGAGTTTCTATTTGTCGCAGTGATGACGATCTCTCGGCAAAGGGAAGTAACGTGATACCTTGCTTACTTACTCGGTCTCTCTGCATGTAATTTACTATACACCAAGAAGAATCTTAATTACGTCGCGCGGAATAATTATGCACGGTGACAGGAGTGTCGCCACATTTATGCGATCAAATATGTGAATAATTGGATGCCCGATCGCATATTTAATGAGAGAATGACATTGTAAAAATCGTTGATCGTCTCGTCAAGTATATTTTAAGATTTTAATATCGTCAAGTTTCATCAGCAATGTGCAAATTCGAGTCGATCTGCGGCACTATTCTCTGGTTCTCCGAACAGAACAACAAAAAGAATTTTCGTAGAAATGCGAAAACTTGAATTAAATAAAATATTTCGCGAGTCTCTCAAGAGAGAAAATGACTTTGACAAAAGTTGGCGACTTACATCCCGATGAAAAGTGGAAAAACTGTTGAGCTAAAAAATGATTCTGCCAGGCTTTCAGTCGAACGATGTCTTCTCGGTTGTTTAAGCTATGAAGAATTAATATTTTCGATGATGTGAACGTGCCCAGAGAAACATCCTGTAAATCATGCCATTCCTGCTATAAATTGTCATTGTCAAAACGAAGAGTTTTACATGATGTTTTATTTTGGTAGAGTAACAAAATATTCGAGATCGAATTAATTTACTTCGGGCTTGAAACATTCTGGTGTAATGAAAAATCATTAATGCACCCCTCCGGGAACGACAGATAAATTAAATCATAAGCGTATTTAATAAAGCTCGACCGTGCTCAGCGTTTCATAAACACTTAAGAGTTAACTCCTTGTCCTTCGGGATAAGGCAAAACCATTCTGCACTCCCGTTTAATATAAAATATGACGAAATGTTCCAGTGTCCGGCACTGAACAATAGTGACACTTTACAGGAAGACAGCTAAAAATTTTCGTAATTATACGGGATATGCAAAACATATATTCCAAGTAGAATTTACAAAATTTTCATCCTTTCATCCTTTTTAGAATTTGCACGAATAAATGATCGAAGAGAGAAATATCGTCGTTACAGAATTAAATGAAGATATCAGTATGATTAAATCATAATTATATTGTACATAAAATGAGCGGACAATTTTATCGATTCAAGAAAGTTGGAAGAAAGAAATGTCGTTAACTTTTTCAAATCTTAACAGCTTTCTCACGATAATACATCTAGGATTATTTTAGGCATGCTGGCAAAAGTTTTCTCGGCCCGATGAGGATTAAGTACCGTTAATAAAGCAATCGCGTGTTACTGCGTAATAGCGGAGCAACGGCTCGTATCAGACGACCTGTGCACGCGGACATCTTGCGCTTGGCCAAGCTAAATTCGGCACTCCGTCTGCATGGTCTAATAATAAATTAATAACGTACTATCGTGTTGTCCTACCCTTTTCTTCCTCGGTTTTATACCTTGGCAAAGTCTGTTACATGTGAAACGAAAATTTATTGCGCTCTTTATTGTGCGCAGTTACTAATCAGTTGCGGCAGGTAATAATCATAATTATTGCCACGCTTAAGAGCGAACAAGAGAATCGCGGCGTTCAAATATTGTACGGGAAGCAATAAAGTACATAGATATATTTATTCGGTAGAGAGGACGCACACTCTTTTTATCTCTCTTGAATTTCTCGGCTGTCGCGATGATCGCGATGAACGCAACGAATAGAGCTTTAGACAGGAAAATGGATTTTAAAACTCTTTGTGACTTAACGTGACGTGTGAGGATGATAGACAAACGCCAGAGATCCATCTTATGAAGAAATTGTTTTCTGCAGACCAGAGGTATTGACATCGCGAAGAACTCTTAAACTCTTTTACAGAGAGGTATTTTACTGAACCGATTTCCAATATGTAGAGCGAAAATATTATACTTACCGGATGCTGTGTGGATGAAATGAAAATCGAACCTCTGGCATCGATGAATTTCTCATGGCAGCATCATACCTGCTGCCTATCGCTATGTAAACATCAATATAAGTCGGGGAGATGTTGAGGAAGGTTGGCTCTTTTATATCTTTTAGTCGTGAACTCAGTTATTGACAGACTGCATTTACATATATTCGTGCGAATCGAAGTTCCCGCGGGGATATTCCGCGAGAGCAGATGCGTTGGTGAGTGGTGTAAAATTATTTCATGAAAGAGAAAAATCGAACGGATATGATGATTGTGAAAGTCTGAGGAGAATTTTCTGTTTCTGGAATTCTTAATTCTTGCGATGTATTACACTGCACGAATTAAACAGAATATTTGCTAATGCAGAAAATGCACGAATTGTTTGTGAGAGTATCGGAATATTTACATAGCTCCTTGATAAAATGTACTGCGATATTTTGTGCGCTATTAATGTGAAAAGAAGAAAAAAATAAAACAGCTGAGTATTAACATATAAATGATTTTTTGCATATTGCATATTGATTGTTAATCGTACCTGTATTCTTGCTCTCCTACTTCTACACACAGGAGAACAGGAATACTCTACTCATAATTTAAAATTATTCTCGATAAAAACTACTTGCCTTCGACTCTGTGTCTGGGAAATCCATATCTGCAGAAGCTAGACTCTGATATCTGTAGTCTAATACTTAAAAATTTCATAAAAATTTTACGCTATAATTTTGCAGTTAAATGAATTGGCAAATGTATCATGCAAGTTTGGTGTAAAATATGATATTACGTTTAACTAAATTTACAAGTTATAAACTCCGGCGATAAGCCCGGCAGCAGATCATGGCCGACATTCACGTACGTGAAATATCATGATAGTCCCATGTTACACGAAACAAGGTAAGTCAGACGTCAAGTGGAGTCAACATACTTCGAACGTTATCTCGTTCGCGTTACGATCGATAAAAGTCACAATGATTTTTTTATAGATATCGCGAGAGTTTTATCGAAACAATGTAAGGAAAAAAAAAGATGAGTCCAACCGGTATCTCTTTTCCGAAATACGATTCCGTTCGGAGGTTTTCACGCTGCATGTTCCCACATGAATGAAACGGCGAGAAAAGGGGAATCGACAATGTCGCGAGCGCGAGCGAGATATATCGCTGGATAAACGCAACATCCCTTCAGTACTCACTGTTATTGCGAAATATTGTGCAGGTTACGTGCTCATTGCATCGAGACGAGGAGACAAAAAGAGAATCGTCCGCCTGGACAAATTTCCTGCTGGCCGCGCACGAACGATACAACGGTAAATGTCATATGGTTTTATTTCTATGCTGGGGGATATACTGGAGAGAAATATTTGTTTTGCGCGAATTCTCTCGTATGACTCGTGCAGATTGAAAAGCGAGATAACTGAAATGAACGACGAGCTTGGAACAAAAATCCGGCCGGATCGCCGTCGCGTAGCAAATGACCATGCAAATCATAATTAACCCGTGAAGATTAATAGATGGACATGTTCTATTTAACGATTTAATCTTCCTCCGTACGCGTGGGCCTTCCTCGTCCTTCGTGATTCTTAAACTAATAAACGATTGGTAACCATCATTTAACATGGCTCTCTTACATATTTATTATGCAATCTTAAATGCGTCTTTGTAAAACTATGACGAGATAGCTCTCTTCCTTGAACATATGCATTGAGTAAATGTCTTCTTTCAATGTTCAGAATATTTATCCTTGTACTCCAAACATATTATAAATATTATAAATATTTTCGGTAAATAATTTATCTAATTTTTTACGATATGCTCATCTTTAAGCTCCAAGTGCACGCTTTATATATTCATGAATCCACCATCGCTCGCTCGATTGCGAAGGTTCGACGCGTTGTGATAACAGCGCCGACGTGAACTTGGTGAATAAGGGTATTGTGAGAAGCACGGCTGTCGTTCTTTTACGCCTTTTATGTCTTACGTCTTACTCATCCAAAGTTATGTTTACGAGAAGAACGCGACGTCTGGTCTTTACTAGTTCTCTACCGCCAATTTACCTGCGTGTTTCTTCATTTTCGCAACTTTGGGTTCGTCTATTCATTTTTTCTCGTTTCCTTTTGTCCTCTCTGGATTTTACCACTCTTGCGTTTCTTTCGCTCGCGTTACATTTGGCACTTAGCGTCAGACTTTCTTTACTCACCGTAATTTGCACCGTTGTATTTTTTTCGCTTTGTTTCTCGTATTTCTCTCGATATTCATTTCGATTCGTATTTCTTGCACGATAAATTAAACAGTGTGTCAGCATCGAGTGCTGATTTAATTCGTGTTGACAGCAAATGGTGCGGAATGCGATGATAATCTCGGGAATGGTTTAGTAATTATTGCTAGATGTTAAATATTTTGCACAAGTTACGATCATCCATTATCAGAGGATGAAGATCGAGTAATAATTAGTTGCAATATATTGCGAAAACTGAAGGGACAATTCGATAAAATGGAACTTCAGCTTTGCCATACAAATTAAATTTGTGATATTCACATATATTATTATTATTAGTACTTATTACTTGGTCAACGACAATTAGTATTCGTTGTGAATTATTTATAAAAAATATAAACAGATAAACAAAACTTACTACTCATTATTACAAAGTATTTTTATATTATTACAAAATATGCGAACATTATGTCGAACGCAAAAATCATATGAAAAAAGTGATATCGTTGGAAAACTTGCTATTAAAAAAATGAGTATTCTGAAAAACAAGTATAAAACAAAATTAATATTTAATATTAATATTTAATATTTAAAAATTAATATTGCCAGTGATATTCGAGGTTGAATGTCGAGTAATACCAATGTCACTACGATTTATTTACTGTATCGTTCCTATGAAGTTAATAGATATACAAACCGTGCGGAATGCTGTTGCATTATTGTCTGGATAGTTTTCATTTGAAAAGTTCTACTAAATATACATCACGACATCACAATGTGTTATATCATTGCATTTTCTTTTTTCGTTTTACATATTACGTAAATTACTGGCGAGTAAATAAACTGCCGACATAAACTAACACTTGATAATCGTATCCGCGCGCTTTGCTCCACTTGCTATTAATTCTCGTTCATGAGGCTTTCTCTATGAGGTTTAATACAAATGGCACGATATAATCGCACTGTCATTTTAGCAAACAGACTCGAATTTGATAAAACGTTTGCAATTAATATAATTACTGTGAACTATAATTACCGTTCAATCGGCACTCTGCGGACAAACGGCCACACTGTTTCTTCTCAGAATCGCGGTTCGGCGTGATCGGCAGTATATGTAAGCAAGATACAAACTCGATTTTGTCGGAACCCCTCGCAGTGCAAGCGAGCGGCTTAATGCAGGTCGCTGACAAAAAATTTGACG